TGTGGTGATTGATACTTCAATGTCCGACATCGACTGACTCACTCAACTCCACTGAGCCCAACTGGCGACCGCTACTACTACTACTACTTATTATGTGTGGGAGAGTCTATTACAATAGAATAGGTAATGTTCTAGTATAACAATTAGTAAGTAGGAAGTTTTATACGGACAGCTTCTTCCTAAGAAACGCTACTTTGTGGAACAGACTTCAGAGAGGATGTTTTCCCGGTCACTACAATCTTAACTTTTTCAATTCTAGGCTTAATAGTTATCGTTCCTGCATAACCCCGTAAAGTTTACTTCTTACCTTTTCTTATGCTCATCACGCAGTAATCCTTTACCTTGACTAGTTCTTTGGTCTTGTGTTAGTTGAACATTAGTATTAAAAATTTGTATTTATTAGAATATACCCACTTAAAGACTGTGACTCACTTCATGTTTTCGTCAGATTCAGACAAACATATTGATGTCACGCATGACATCCAATTCGTTCACAGATGTCTTGACTATGAGCTATATAGAGCCGTTTTGTCAGATCAATAATTAAATATCGTTTTAAGCAAGTGAGTCAACTAAAACTTAAAGAAGAAATATTTCAGCAAATCTAATTTTAGTTTTCGATGTACGACAATATGGCGGAATGTTCTACGAGAAATCTTTTTTTACAGTATCCGGAGTTTCGAAACGGACATCGATTCGGCATTTGGTATGGTCGTAGTACTGTAACAGAAACTACAAAAAATGCCTACAATAGGATAGAGGCAGCACAATTCCATCCTGGCTGGACATCTATGCTCCAAAGAAAAAATATATGGAGAAAAAAAAATAATGCCTCAACTTGCTATTACGTTGTAAAAGTCATCAACTCGGTTTGTTTTCGTTGATTTAAATTCTTAAGCGTTTCGAACTTCTACAACGTCCTCTCTTTTTTGAGGGTTGGACGAACCCTACTAACATCAGTTATGTGTTTCTATTTAGTTTGTTTTGGGGTTCATTCCCTCCCCTCTCATTCTATGCATCCATAAATCTTTAAGTATATATTTTATAATCATTTGAATTTTATGAAATTGGGCGCATTTTGTAGGTTTCCCCTGGAGAGGATGCGGTATTATGGTGGATGCAGGATTGAATATTGACGGACGCGTTCTTATGGTGAATGTGGAAATTGTAATGTGTGAATGGGTCATGAATCAGATTAGCTAGATATAAGATAGTTAGTGATGACCGGCCTCAACCCCTTCCATTTTTGGCCTTGTGCCGCAATTTCATTTTAAATACAATAAATAATAATTAAAGAGTGGCTAAGACTGGCAACTGGCATTTGCATAAAAAATAAACCGGACGCAGAGATAAAAAAAAATAGTTAAATATTCTTCTTTTGATGATAGTTTTTTTTAAACTCCTGTGGCAGTGAAGACTTCTGGGGTTATTGACCCTCGTTCGATGGCGTTTCTTCGGAGGATTGGCGCGATTGCGTCTCGATTAAGGGATGAGCCTCGCGAAACGGAGTGGCTCTTGCATCGTGTCTCACTGGCGATGGTTCGAGGTAATGTTTTCTCCATCATTGTGGCTGACAGAAAAAATAAATTATTCGTTGGAATTACATTTTTTCCTTTCTTTTAATTATGCAACTACCAACGGAGACAAGCACCCTAACACTGTCACATTTATTTATCAAAACTTTGCTGAGAATGACAAATGGTCAGAAATCAACATATAAAAATCTTCCTAAGTTGTCAACCAGTTAAATATTAATCAATTCCGAAACTGATTAAAACCGCAAGCTTAAATCGAACCGTAATTAATAATTATCACTTGATTATAATTAATTATTATCGCCATTAACTTGCTATTAGTATTCGCTTTTTTCTTTTAATGAACAATACAAAATTTAATACAAATTCAGATCATCTTTGTTCTGTGTTGATAACGCATATGATAATGGTGAAAGTAATCGTTTCCATGCAGGAAACATTCGCCATCTATTGACCGAACAGCGTTACCATCAATTGAAATTCATAAAACATTTTAAAATAGTCTTCTGGAAATTATACTTCTTAAGTCTACTGTTATCTCTCTTTCTAGTATTCATGTGAATTTTCTTACTAAACTTTGCTTTGAAACACTGTGGAAAGTCAACATCGTGATTAAAACTTTATTTTAAAACTCTACTTACATGAGTCATTCAATTTAGTTGTTACGGCTACTGGAAGGCTTCAAGTGATGAGGATTTTGTTATTTGGTAAATTTCTTTGGAATTCTCTAGTTAATCAATCTTTACTTCTTCAATTAGAGGGTTAACCTTTATCATTCCTGCATGAATTTTACTTCCAGACTTATGCTCATTCAGTATCGTATTTATTCAAATATAACTCGGTTTCTAGGAACCGATAGCCAGACAACCTGCACATGTGATTTGATTATAGTGGTGAAGTCTTGTGCAGAATTAATCGCACTTTTTGAAGAGCCGAATACAGAGAACTGTGTGCCACAATCCGCAGGTTTTGAATTCAGAGTTGTCCTTCTCATAGACAAGTTGCCATCCAAGGCCATAGATCACAATCTGTCCTGTTATTTACCTATAGCTAGGAGGAGAAGGAGAGGATTCATACCTTTCCCAAGTGTAATAGCATGTAAGTGAATGTAATGGATTAGACAGGAATTTTAACTTAGCTCTCTGATTTCTCAATCCGAGCCGGTGTCCATTACTTCACCGTGCCAACTTAAAAATGTAATATTCCTGAAGAACTATTTTAAGAGAAATGGATAACCGTTTGGAAACGTGGAACTATTTTAAGAGAAATGGATAACCGTTTGGAAACGTGGAATACTGTAAAAAGCTTTCTCAGTGAACATTTCGTCATATTCTCGTACATTGAAAACCAGAACTACTGTCTTTTACAACTACTCAAGTGTGTTTAAGCCTCACTTTGGATATCAGGCATCGCCATTCATTGAATAGTGCTATTAGCTCTGGTGCTTCTACTATATATTGAGAGATTCTTGATAAAATAAAAGAAATAAAAAGAATCTGCAAAGTTATTGGTCCTGACCTGACATCTCGGCTTCAGTCAATTTCCTATCGATCTAACGTAGCTTCTCTGTGGCTTGTCTATAAACACTTTTCTGGTAACTGTCCCGATGAGCTTTCTCTTTGGTACCTAGACTATGAATTTAAGCGCACTAGTAGATTGGGAAATGTATAAATCTGTCTCTTCTCCCCTTGTTATGGGTTGAATAACAGGATAGCGTGGATTCTATAGACTTGGTTGGCAACCTACTGCGGGTAAATCTTCTGCCTCGTCAGTCATGAATCGAAAGAAACATGATCGCTCAAACGTATATCACGTATGAACCTTGACTATATTGGTGGCAATGTCTCATCATCGTTATAGTTAAAAGGGCTAGATTTGATTGCAAGTTCTATGTTAACAGTTTCTTCTCTCGCACGTCTCGCTTGTGGCTCTCTTCTCGCTTGTTGCCTTCCACCCAACATTGATTTTCAAAAATGTAAATGCAATGTCAATCGTTATCTTCTGTCTTCTTAATTTGTGTTCTTTTATTATTCTCGCTTCTTAACAATTGTTTCTCTATCTCATATTTTTCATACTTAGTAAACCTTGCGTCTTAGTGACTTTATTTCCCTGCTTGGAGGGAAATGATTACAAAAATGTTTTCGTCTTGGGTAAGACCTTAAACTACATCCGCGTCCTGGGTAATACGTTAAACTACGTCCAGCAGCTAGACCTCTGATCAGGAGGTCTTGAGGAGCGTGGAACTACCTCTTAATTGCTGGTGTTCCCAGGTCCTGACCTGGGGTGGTAGCAGCTATGGGAAAATAGTTAACTATTATCAGCAATACTTTTTTGAAAAAATTATTACCAGCAATACAATTTTGAAGGAAATATATTACGAAAAACAGATTTTTGACAAAACAAAATTTTAAGAGCAATAAAATTTTTTGCCGGCATTAAATAACACATTGAGGTTAATATGTCGTAAAACAAAATAAACCAAACCAATCTAAAGCAAAGAATACATATTCTATTCATACAAATCTATCCTAAAAATGTTGTCGGCATTAAATAACCCATTGAGGTTGATATGCCGTAAAACAAAATAAACCAATCCAATCTAAACTAAAGAATACATATTCTATTCATACGAATCTATCCGAAAAATGTACTCAGCATTAAATAACCCATTGAGGTTGATATACCGTTAAACCACATAAACCAAACCAAACCAAAATGTTTGCTTTTAATAAATTAAGGTAAAATTTGAAGATATCTGAGCATAACTTAATACGCTTGATCATGCTTGTAACAACGGAACAAGTCAATAAGAAATATCAGCGTATCAGAAGAAAAACTGGAATTCCCGGAGTTTCACGATATTGCTTTCATCGCATGGTGCCAGTTTGCTATAAACATCTGAAACTCGTTATTCGGATTTTTGTAGAATTGGAATCATGACGTCCGACAGACGGTATTTTATTTTATTTTTTTTTTTTTTACTTTGGTCCAAAATAAAGTTCATGTGGAAAAAATAATAAAATATATTAAAATGTAAGCGATTAAAATAAAAGAAATCTTTTCGATCAAATCTATAGACAATTGGGATTTATGATTTGAATACGCAATGAAGGAAAAATCGAGAAAATAAAGAAAAAGAAGAAGAAAAAAATTAACAGAAATTTGAGCCATTCCTTTTTATGCTGCTGTCAGGTCACAAGAATTCTTTTTGTTGATACTAATACTACTACTATTACTACTACTTTTAATTCTTCTTCTATTTTCTTCTTTTTGGCATCGACTACTATTGCTCCTCTTTCTTCAGTTCTTTTGTTTTAATTTCATTATTTTTCTTTTACTTATCGTCCCATTTTTCTTCTTTCTCCCCGACTTTTTTATTTTATACTTCTACCATCACTCCTACGCTCTGTCAATTTCTAGTGATTTACATTGCTCCTCCTCCTCCTTTTCTACTTGCTTTTTCAGTTTTCTCATTATTCTCTCCTCTTCGCCTTCTCTTCGCCTTCTCTTTCCCTTTTCTCATTATTCTCTTCTCTCCTCCCCTTTTCATCTTTTCTCACTATTCTCTTCTCTCCTTCCCTTCTTTCTCTTTTCTCATTATTCACTTCTCTCTTTTCCCGCTTTCCCTTTTATCATTATTCTCCTTTTCTCCGACTCCATATTGTAATCCCATACATCCTCCTATTTTTATTCATCTTCTTCTTTTCTTTCTCTTTTCGGTGTGTCTCTCTTTCCTTATCATTCTCTTTTTTTCTCTCGAATTCCTTTTATTTCCTCCTTATCCCTTTTTTTTTCTTTACATTGTCGCCATTTCTCTCTCTATTTTCAGCACTGTTTTGCATACCATTTATTTATCTATCCTTGTACTCCACCGCTTCCTCTATTCACTCTCACTATTGAAAAGATAATAATAATAATAATAAAGATCTTCCTACCATATCGAACCATGAAGGCTGTTGTTTATTATACAACCTTCCCCCAAGGTTCTCTCATCGGCCCTACCGTCTTTCTCAGATCATTAGTAAAAAATATATGAAAATGATACCACGGTTTATGGTTGTATCTCCAAAAGCCCTTATGACCAAAGCCACCAAAGGCAGCTGACCTCTACTCTGACCTAACAATCACTGTTCAGTTGAGGTAAGACTGGCTTCTATCATTTAATGCCACAAAGACCAAATTCGTTTCATTATTACCGGGGCACACCCTAAATCTATTCTAGTCCCGATGAATGCTTGCACTCACAATGATCTTTGGCTAATATGCCTATCGGGATATAATTTCCCTGCAAGCCTCAACTGAAACTTTTATATGCGAACGATCGCTAAAAATGCTGGTTCCTTTTACCAATCTAGAAATTACCTGACTCCTTCTGATATTGTGTTTTTCCAGTGTTGGCGAGGGCGTTATTCTTCAACTTTTATTTGAATTACTGTGGAATATCAACATCTTGATTATGTCATTATTGTTTTTTTTTTTTTTTGCGAATTACAGATGATGTCCATTTTAGCTGTTGCTACTGCTGAAAGTCCTTAAGTAATATGGTTTCTGTTATTTCCTACAGTTTTTTTTTCGATTCTGTATCACCAGTCTACCAGGTTCGAAGAGATGTGATCTTCAACGCGACATATAGGTTTCACTCAGTCGAATCCATTCTAACCATTGACCTTAGTAAGCGTTTGTAAACAGCTGTCATTTTAAATCGTTCTGAACCGATTTGATGTCATATATGACATCCACATGAAAGTCTCCATCTGACGCATCTATTTTCGAACACGACTAGGATCTTCAGGTTAATATTTTAGTTATGTAGCAATTGGTAGTGTTGGGCGAAATGACACTTAGAGCAACCTATTCTCTGTTCAAGTTCTTTATCTCCTATGGTAAATTGGTTATAAGAGATCCACACATTGAAATTTGAAAAGGTTGGTATTAACATAATCTACATCCTAGACGCTATGTGTGTCATCACTGCTTTCATTCCATATCCAGATTATAGTTTCCATTTTAAAAATGGGGTTTATTTTGATTAAGATGAGGTATTGTGATTATTTACATTATTTGGACTGTTATCATCATCTTCATTGCCATATTCACAACGTTTCGACCGTTGTACGCTCCGGCCTTCTTCAGGTGATTGAAGTTTCGAACCGAACCTTTTATTTCGTCCACCTAGGTAGATTGTTCTAGTTCCACGTGCCATGCCTCTTCCGGGCGTCTCAATCATCTGAAGAAAGCCTGAGTTTACAACGGCTGAAACGTTGGTTTATTTTGAGTTCTATTTCTTGTTTCGCTTGATAGAGGTTGTCGAGTTTCTCTTACAGATCTTTCTTGCAACAGAAAGAAGAGGACAAATCAAAGACGTGAAAATTTAAAAAAGAAACCGAAAAGCCCAAAAGTATGAAAAAAAAAAGATCTCCACATAAATTTCAGCAGGCAAGTTCTGTTGGCCTTCCTGTTGTCGATGGCTTCCATGCTTCAAACTTCAAACTTCAAAGCCACATTACAGACTGAATCAACAACGAATAATCAATTTTTCTCACTTTATCTCATGGGGGTCAGTAATCACAGCATCGTTTCTTGGAAGTAGTGAGAGGATAATAGAGATCAACAACCCATCACCACGTGCTGGGTTCTCTCACTGGATGCAGTGAGATGTCTTGACCCTTTTAATTCTTGCAGCTGTACTGACTGTCTTCACGCGTGTTTGGCACTACATCAAAACTTAAACAAAGACGATCGATCACTATCAGAATTGCCTGTACACAGGGGTTCAATTCGGGTCGTCAGAATTCTGATCAGTAGTTTGCCACTTTAGACTAGCCTAAACATCCACTCATAGTTAAAGGAAAACAGATGGTTGCGCAGAGAGTAATAACAAAGAATTCCGAATTATGACAACACAAAATAATTGGTTGATTGGTTGATTTTGTTTAGCGGCATATCAACCTCTATGGATTATTTATTACGGAAACCTAAATATTTTGAACATATTTCTTATGGATTCAACTACAGATAAAATATATTGTTGGTGATTCTGCTATAAATAGGTATTGCTGGTATTTTTACTATAAAATGTGTTGCTTGTATGTTTATTATAAAAGTTCATTATTTGCCCATAGCTGGGACCCTAACAGTTGCTACCACACAGTGAACCTAGGTACACCAGCAAGTAAGAGGTGGTTTCCCGCTCCTCAAAATTTTCAATCTCCCCATCAGATACATTGCTGCCAGATGAAGTTTATCGCCATAGCCTTGACAGATTAATTTCACAAAATCAATGATAGACATGTCACAGCCAAATAGTTCATGCAGACGATGCTTAGATAAGGCTGTCTCATAATAAGCGATTGCTGTAACTGATAATGGTGGGGAGCTACATAAAACTGCGCGCAAAATTAGGATTCGATTACTTATGGTAGTTGCATTATTCGGGCTGATATACTCATCTTCATTGCCATATTCACAACGTTTCGACTTTTGTACGGACAGGCCTTCTTTAGGTGATTGGAATTTCGAACGGAACCTTTTATTTCGTCCACTGGGGTAAGTTGATCCAGTTCCACGTGCCATGCCTCTAACGAATGTCTCAGTTATTTCCCTTTAACTCAACTCTCCAAGTTTTGGTTCCCCACTGCTGTGGCCTTGTAGTGAACTCACAACTCTTTGGGTCTAGTCACTAAATATACCCAACGTCTTTATCCATTGGGCTTTGTCTCCTTGAATTCCAATCACCTGAAGAAGGTTAGAGCGTACAACGGTCGAAACGTTGTGAATATGCCAATGACGATGAGGAAAACAGAATGATTAAGTAATCATAATACCTCATCTCAGAGACATTAGGATTCGACTATAAAAATTAATTAACCAGAATCTGTTTTCGTGCATATAAAAGCGTGGGTTTTTCTATGACTTTGATATTCAAATTTATCACTCAGTCTAGGCCAGGAAATTACAGGGTAACTGAAAAGTAATTTCCTATTTTAAAATACTTATAATTTATTTATTATCTCTAATTTTTTATGAGAAATATGTATGAGAGGAAAGCGTTTAGCATGACGTTTTATTTAAAATTCAATATGACCACCAGATTTCGCTATCAGATTCTCAATTAACCTAGGAATCGCGTCAAATGATTTCATCAGAAACTCTTGTGGTATAGAAGACATAATTTCTTCTATTTGCCCATCAATTTCTTCCAACGACTTGGTTTAGTATAGTAGGATTCCTTTAACACCCCCACCACCAAAAAAATCACAAGATTTTAATGACTCTTGATTGGCCACTCACACTTAAAATGAGAGTTACTTTTCAATCACCCTGTAGATTACTTGCATTATTTACATTATTCGGACAGTTATCCTCATCTTCATTGCCATATACACAACCTTTCGGCCATTGTTATGTCCGGTCGTCTTCACGATCTGTCTATGTCTCTGAGATGATGTATTATGATTACTTGCCTTATTTACATTATTCGGACAGTTATCCTCATCTTCATTGCCATATTCACAACGTTGCCTTGAGGACGCATGAACCTGTGGATAAAAGACGTTAGTTATATCCAGTTAAAGGTTCTATATTAGGCCACAACATCGGTGAAGCAAAACTTGGCGAGTTCAGTTAAAGGGACATAACTGAGTCATCAGGTAGAGGCATGGCACGTGGAACTAGAACAATCTAACCCGGTGGGCAAAAATAATGGCTTCGGTTCGAAGTTCCAATCACCTGAAGAAGGCTTGAGCGTATAACGGCCGAAGCGTCGCGAATATGGCTATGAAGATATGGATAACTGTCTGAATAATGTAAATAATGCATATAATCATAATACCTCATCTCAGAGATGTAGACGAACACTCTGTAGTTCTAGGTATTATAAGCAAATAAAAGGAAAAAAAATCTGAAAACCAGTGATTAAAATGGAAAGAAAAAGAAACATGAAGAAAAGTATTTATTTTCGAACAAAATAAATGACCCACTTTTGCTTTCCTTTATTCAAATGTATATATATATATATATTTTTTAATTATGTTTCCTTCTTATTTCCATTTCATTATTTTCCTTTCGTTCGATTCCGTTATATACACATTCATCTATCATTTCGAAGTTATGTGTTTTTCCTATCGGAGATTCTAAATTTTGATTTGATCTTTTGTTTTCTATATAGTTGCAAAGCCGAGATGAATAAACGCAATTCTATTGATATTATGATTTATGATTTAAAACTCGGTTATTGCATATCCGAAGCCAGGTGCTGCATCAACGTGGCTTGGGGACTGGAATCTGTTTCAGAAAGATCTGTGCATCGCCGGTTTCAAATTTCTCCTTCTCGTGATCTGGATAGTGGTTCACGTCGTCATTCGGTAATGAAGAATTATAGGCAATCTGTGAGTTTCTTCCCGAAATAGTCACTGACCAGAAGCCAAGTGGAGATGTAGTTTAATAAAACAGTCGAAAAACAAGGCGACTATATGAACAGAATGTAACATCGGATTTAAATTAAGTTTTCAGATTTTTTTCTCTCATTCACATACACTGGCTAGTTGCTGGCTGATTGCCTCTGTCTTTCTTGGCTTCCGTATGTCCCGTGGGTTTCAAATTTGCCACGCCTTGTTTCCTCATTTTAAAAGATTTCTTTCCAGCATTTTCATTTGTATTTTTATTTTAATTATGTGTCGTTTTTGTTTCAATTTTTCTTAAAACTTCCACGTTCTATCTATCTATCTATCTATCTATGTATCTATCTATGTATCTATCTATCTATCTACTGCACACATATCTATCTATCTATTGCACACATATCTATCTATCTATTGCATATATATCTATATCTATATCTATCTATATATATATATATATATATATATATATATATATACATATACGTCTATCTATTGCAC